GTGTTTGGAGTTTTGCGTTGCGTTGTTCAATCAGTCCATCACCCGTAAAGAGTACGACAGCCCATTAGTATGCGCATTGGCGGTATTAGGCGTCAAGCAAGACGGATGGAAAGGCCCCGAGCAGTATCCACCCATATTGTCAGCCGTCATCAAGGTATCCCGATTTATGGTGGTGCAAATTGCGTTGGAGTTGTCCGAGCCGTCGGTAGACAACGAGTTCGACAGCGATAGCGCGTATGACAGCGATGAGAGCAGCACGCCACCGCAGCCCCGGCGCAAGGGATGTTTGCAGTTTGTGCAAGAGATGATGGACAAGTTCATGGTAAGAGGAAGCCACGGGCCCATGCAATGGATGTTGGATTTGCGAACATACGGGTTGAAGATTCATTACAACACGACGTCCCAAGGTCATGTCGATTGGGTTGGACAAGATACATTATTGTACAAAGATTTGCCATTCAATATGGCGCAGTTCCGCAGCATGGTGCATGGATGGACGGCGGAATGTCGACGATTATTGATGGACGAGTTGTTGTTTGGCAACCGTACAGCCGCCGAACCCGTGCCCAGTATCCCGTGGGACGCATTGCGCGATGATCCAACCAATGCAACGCCCGGATGGAGTTTTTTACAAGACAAGCGGACCCAAATGCCCGTCCACGGGGAGAAATGGTTGTTTGAGCGTATCGGGAAGAACATCCCGATCAGGGACAACTTCATGAAGCCAGGCACCCGTTCCGGAATGGACAGGCAGGAGGTGGAGCGGTACATGGATCGAGTGATTGCGTTTCGAGCCAAATTGGCAGTATTAGCCCATTTATCAATTGGACAGCCAGCCCGATGGCCGGAATTGGGGAGCATCCGGCATAGTAGTACCGTCAAAGGAGGCCACCGCAATATGTTTATCGAGGACGGCATGGTTGTATTCGCAACGCGATATCACAAGGGGTACAAGATAAGCGGCGATACCAAGATCATCCATCGATATTTGCCGCGTGAGGTGGGCGAGTTGGTGGTTTGGTATTTGTGGTTGGTATTGCCATTCCAGCAGCGATTAGAGGCGATGATAGGGAACAAGGAGGCCGTGTCATCACACATGTGGGCAGCGGACCCGAATGGACGCAAGTGGACATCCGATCGATTCCGGGAAGCATGGAAACGGGAGAGCCGGGTTCGTTTGGGACAAGAATTCACGATTGCGGGATACCGAGAGATTGCCATTGCAAGAAGCCGCCGGTTTTTACGGGGGTCAAGCGCATTTCAAACAGACGAGGGAGAAGAGAAGGAGGAATTGAGCGAAGAGTAAACAGACGAGGGAGAAGAGAAGGAGGAATTGAGCGAAGAGAACATGGCAGCGTTGACCGCGGACGAGCAGGCGGGACACACAGCACATGTCGCGGGGTTGATATATGCACGAGAGATGATGGAGCAGGCAGGAGTAGTGGCCAGTAGACGATCGCAGTTCCGCATGTCCAGTATTGATTGGCATCGATTGTTAGGGGTTGGATCCGTACAAGAGGACAAGGATGCATACAAGAAGCGAAAAAGGGCGCCATACGAGGATGAGGCAGACGAGGCGAGGGTGGATCGGTGGATGCGGATGAGGAAGATGGACACGGCAACGCCATTGCAGCGGATGATGGGCGAGACAGCCCAGTTTCGCGGATTACAGAAAGAGGCGATCGAGGCCATGGTAGCCGGCGAAAGCCCCGTAGTGGCCGTGATGCCGACAGGGGCAGGCAAAAGCATGTTGTTCATGTTGCCAGCGTGGGCCGAGCAAGGTGGTACCACCGTGGTTGTCGTCCCGTTGATCGCGTTGCGAGGAGACATCCATCGCAGATGTCAGAAAGTAGGAATATCATGTGCCGAGTGGGAGAATCGCCGCCCGCCCGATGCAGCAGCCGTCGTATTGGTAACGCCCGAGTCGGCCGTCAAGGTGGAATGTACGACATTTTTGAACCGGATGAGAGCAACACGGCGATTGGATCGTATCGTCATTGATGAGTGTCATATTGTGTTGAACCGTCGATATACGTTCCGCAAGGAGATGCAGCCGTTGGGCAAGTTGGTAGGCGCAGAGACGCAGATGGTGTTGTTGACAGCAACGTTGCCGCCGCGTGAAGAAGACCATTTGTTCCGACGCATGCATTTCGATCGAGACGAGGTGAAGATATTCCGGGCCGCGACAACAAGGATAACCATATCGTACCGCGCGATTCCGATAGGCAAAGAGGTGCGGAAAAGGGCGGTAGAGGGGATCCCATCACGGATGATACAGCAAAAGAGTACGAGATACAGGACGGGCAAGATTGTGATATACGGGAATTCGGTGGCCAAGGTCAAACGATTGGCACAGGAGGTAGGGTGCGATGCGTACCATCACGATGCGGCCGGCAAGGCAAGCATGGTAGAAGCGTTCATGGCCGGAAAGCAAAGGATGATAGTTGCAACGAGCGCGTTAGGAATGGGGGTTGATATAGCGGACATTCGGTGTATCATCCACGTCGATTGGCCGTTTTCGATGATGGATTACGCGCAAGAGAGTGGAAGGGCCGGGCGAGATGGGTTACCGAGCGAGGCGGTTGTTATCGCGCATGCAGGAGATCCATGGAGGGCCGAAGACCAGCAGACCCAAGCCGAGCAGGCGATGGTTCGATCATACGTGGAAGGGCCGAATGGGTTGGCGCAATGTAGGAGGGTGGTTTTGGATGGATATTTGGATAGGCGGGGAAGCGAGCGAGTACGGTGCGAAGAAGGGGAAGAGAAATGTGATGTATGCCGCGGAAATGTGGATCATGTGGAAGAGAACGAGGACGTGTCAGACGCGAGTGAGGCAGATGATCAAGAGGCAGATGATCAAGAGGCAGATGATCAAGAGGCAGAGAAGGAACAGCAGAGACAGGTGTTTCGACAGCAAGAGCGCGAACGTCAGGCGGCGCGGCAGCGATTGATAGAAGAGCGACAGCAAGCGTTTGGAGAGATGGAGTGGTTGCGTAGGCAATTAGCATTGTGGTCGAATCGTTGCGGGATATGCGCGGCAGCCGGGGAAGGACGGGAAGGACAGGAAGGGCATGACGTACGGCAGTGTTGGCGAGCAGAAAGTCGACAAGC